TTAAAAAGCTATATAAAATGATACTAATGAATTCAAAAGTGCTAAATGAATCTAACCTGATTTTTAATAACAATTACGAAGGAAAACATGAATTCAGATTATACAAAAATAAGTGTAATCTTTTAATAAATAATGGTCTAATACAACTTTATAAGTCGAAAAAAATTAATTTAGTTAATTGTACCAGCCATAAGTTCATGTATATAATAATTATATAAAGTATTTGCTAAAATCTTTGATAAACATTGACCAAAATCACTAAGAAATTTTAACAATAGTTTTAAACGAAAAGAGTTTTCACAAGATTTTAAGATCTGGAAAAATTACATTATGGGCAGTTCTGATGTTCTAGGTTTACATTATGAGGTACATTTGGTAGCAGTAAAATGTACCATCAAACGCAGATGGCACATACTTTTGTTTATCATCAATATATCGTTAGTTAAATTTTTAAAAAGCATAGAATTTATAATAAACATTAACTATTACATGTTTAGTAAAAAATATTACAACAAATATCCGGTGGTGCTATGGGTAGCCCTATCCTTCCTATCTCTTTAAGAATCGCCATGCAGGACTTATAGCAAATAATAATATTAATACATCAGGTTCAGATTCTAGCGTGAAAAAGATTTGTCGATGATGTATGGGCGGTAATACCCAAAAATTTTGTACAAACAGTCTTGAAACATTTGAATAAATATGACCAAAGAATCAAGTTTATAATAGAAGAACGGACGATGATAAGATAAATTTTCTTGATATTACATTTATAAGGCAGACCGATGACAGTGTGATAACAAATTAACATGCTAAATCAATACAGTTAAATAGTTATCTAAATTTTCATTCTCACGACCCTGTATTGTGAACAATTACTACTGTCTATGATTTGGTTTACAGAACAGTTAAGAAGTCAGATTTAATTCGTCATATCGTAAGTTTAAAATGTGTCAATAATGTATTGAAAGTAAATAACCATGTAAGTAAGTTTTTAAAAAAAATTACTGGAATTAGTCTTAATATTATAAAAATTAATCAATTTTTTTCGACAAAATTTTGAAACAACAAAAAACAATATTACGACTGTTTAGTTTTGCCGTACGTAAAAAGATTTGAACACGATTTAACATTCATTACAAAAAAATTACCTCATGAAAATTATTTTAAAATTACGAAATAAACTAAACTTTCTCAGTAATAACGGAAAAGGTAAAATAAATAATTCAAAAATCTAACGTAATTTATAAAGTAATATTAAACAGCAGTAAATTATATGTAGAACAGTTAGGTAGGATACTAGAAGTAGGAAAAAATGAACATTGGAATTATACACGTAAAGATAAAGATACGTCAGCATTATATAAAACTATTTGAGTTTGATGGAAAGTCAATTAAAATACTTGATCAGTAATCCCAACTTGCTTTTATAAGCGACTCATTAGTAAAATTACATTTGTTGAAAAATGTGATACTATTAACCGAATACCTGATACATTGTTACTTAGATGCTAAGATTGACGTTTATTTAACCATACTTTTCATTTTTTTTCACTCTCTCTTTTTTTTTCTTTGCAAACCCGCGTTTTCACATCAACCTAAACACCACATACATACACATATGCCAAGCATCAGAGATAATACTTCGCGACACACGTGTAAGGAGAGACCGAGTAAGATGTGGACGCATGAGCTAGTCTACATCTTCTTTTCTCCTTAAAAGCAATGAGATTTGATAGTGGCATGCTACACCTTCATTAATGTCTTTTCTTAACACTTACAACATCAAGAGCTACCAAGCCAAAAAATTATGTGAACTATAAAGCGACCTATTTTTGACAAGCGGACGCTCGGACCAGTATCGTTGCCTTACGATATTCTTTAGCAAGTAAACACTCCTCCAAATCCAAAACAATATATGTGTAAAGGGAGACAAAAAATACATAGAAAATCATTGCCATTCCTTGACACAAGATATCAGACTGATTCTGAAAACTTTTGTACGCTTCATCGTCTCTGGCCATAGTATTCATGATAAGGAGGCAAAATTTTCGGCTATATAAGCCCGTGGCTTTCTTCACGAGCAGTCAGTCAGTCAGTCAAATTTATCCGATGGTCAGACCAGCTTTGGTGTATACCTAGAGCAGTAGCCAGACTAGACACACGACCGGGAGAATCCGATCGGTGCATTCAATGGTCAGGCCAGCTTGGGAGTATACCTAGAACATTAGTAAGAATAAAACGCATGATTTCGAGAACCCAGTCGGTGCATATACGTAACATGGAGAATCCGGTCCATTCGTTTTGACTTAAATTATATACAGCCACCCAGATCTTGCCTCGAGAGCCACTTTTGTACCCGCTTTCTAGACAAAAAGAAAAATAAGTGATATTTATATTCAAAGTTAATTTTCACGCATTTCCCATAATTTTTCGCGTAAAATCCCCTGTTGCGTGCCATTCAATCTAGATATTGGTGGCCAGGCAGGTGGCAATAGAAAAAAATTCCATTAAACAAATAAATCTAGTGTCAACGGTAAATCGTGTGCCAGTCGGTGAAAATGATGATTGCCAGGCAACTAGCATCTTATTTAAAAAAATAAAATCAAGTGTCAACGCTAAGTTGTGTACTAGTTAGTGTAAATGCTGATGGCCTGGCAGGTAGCTTTTATTTCAAAAACCTAATCTTTAACGCTATGTTGTGTGTTGCTATTAAAAAATGCCGGTGACCAGATGACTAGCTCAATTTAAAAAAAAAAGGGAACCAAGCTGCAATTTTTAAATTAATGGCCGTTTACGTACCATTGGTGTAAATGCTAATAGCTGAGTAGCTAGCAAATCTTTTAACAATTATCAATCCTGCTCTCACCTTTGTTCCGGTTCAACCTCACAGTTACTCCTTCAATAACCCGTTATATTATTTAAGAATGCTTCGCCACAGATATAAAATTGAAGCTCTGAGTAGGCCGCGCGCACAGAGTTCGAAAAGGAACATCTGGGGCCGCACTTTCCTCAATTTGAATGAGGCACAGGGCGATAGAAGAAATAGGTTCATCGCGGACGGTAGGCCATAGAAGCGTTCGTCGTTTGTCGTTGCCATGGGGCTTTTCTCGATGTTATTTTTTTCATTGTGAACTGTGAGGTTACGCTTCGGGGGAGTTCAATTTTGTCCGCCTAAACGATAACACGCTTGTTACATCAATAAACAAGTTATTTCCAATTGGTCTCTAAATTATTTTCCTCAAGTCAAATCATTCAGAACATTTGGTACTGAAACCCGGGACAATTTCATTGACTCTTGGGAAAATAAGTGGACGGAAAATAAAAGCTCCATCTCTTGAGGCCAACAACGTCAAGCGAACTCGACCACAGAGAAATCGAGGCGCTTCAGCTGATGTCAGCGATATTTTTGAAAACCTACGACTTCTGTGAGAGGAAATCGGTCCACAGCAACCTGAGTTCCGTCCATGGCTAGAAGAACCACAGATTATCAACTTTCAGCGATATTTAAGGGAAACAAATTTACGACCGTGATCACCCTCGCTGTCGTCGGAAGATAATCAACTTTTTTTTCCTCATCGTCTCGAAGCTATGGAAGAAGCAGCCGCGGGAAATACAGAGGCGAATAATGTAACACTACAAGTTCCAGCAGCAGTGCAACATTGTGCGCCACGTCGTCCACAACCAGAGGCGGCTATCGAGCTCTGGTCCTGGCCCATCAACCAGAGGCAGCGCGTGCTCACGCATCACGTCGTCCAGTAGCAGCGACAGTCATCGATAAAAAACCGCGGGCGGCGAACATATATCAAGCGTTCCGTCATCTCATAGCAGTTAACGAAGCAGTGTTAAATCAAGGAATGTAAACTGATGATGAAGAAGAAAGCGATGCTAATAGCATTTATTTTGAGAACAGGTTAGAATTTGAACAAGCAGAAGGAAATAATTTTGGAACTGAATCGTCATCGGATGACGATGTATCAGAAGTTGATAATTATAAAAATATGCGCGAAAAACTCAACAGACTAATGCACAGCTCAAATCATAACAATACCCAATCGAGAGAAGATCCAGTGAATAGGTTAGTAAATGCAATGGAAAAAACTTTATCAGCTGCTAACAGAAATTCGTCTTTAAATAATGTAAGTGCAAAATTCAGAAACAGAATGACATCAGCAAAACTTTTGCCAAAGTTCTCAGGAGATCCTCTCGATTGGAAACGCTTTAAGCAAGCATTCGGAACCTCAACCGATTTAGGAAACTATTCTGATAAAGAAAATGTCACGCGTCTTTTTCAAGCGCTTTCCGGTGAAGCGCATAACGCCGCTAAGATTTTATTTTCTTTNTTGGTACATAGTAAAGCTGCTCTGACAAAATAGACTAATATCTAACTTTTTGAAAAAAATACTAAACTAAAAAAATTAGTCTACAAAACAGATTTTATTCGTTCATGAGATTAATTATTAAACCTAATACATTAACAAGTAGTAAATAAAAATTTGCTTAAAAAATAAGTAACGAACCACAGATTAGCATAAACTAATTGACTTCTCATATCAAGATCACTTATAGATAAGTGGGTAAGGGCCTAGACTTGTGTGCAGAAAATTGCGGGTTCAAGTCTCATGAAAAGGATTTTTTTTTTTTTTATGAGAATCGGTTAAAAGAAAAAGAGATAAAATTCATCGAATAGAAGATGTGTGATGGTGTAGCATAGCGTTGGATGGTGTAAATGGGACCGGTGCCGGATGGCACGGCAATGCAGGTGGGGCAAAGGGGGAGTAACACGTGAAACTCACGACAGTTTTTTTTCTTCTCAAGGTCATCAATCTCAAATCGTTGATTTACTCTCACAAATAACACACGTATCAAAGTATGACTTAAAAAAATTTTAATCATTGTACAATCAATAGTGTTTGAGAATTAAATAATGACTTAACTTAATTATTATAGGTACAAAGCGCACTGAAATATCAAGTAAAAGTCAAATAAGTAGTAATTTTTTAAATCATACCCATTACTTGACAGCTTGTATCATCGAAAAGAGCATTCTGCAGCTCGTTGTTGCGAATAAATGGTACTAGCACATCAGCAATAGCCAGGCACATAACATAGCACATAAGAGTCTTGCCATGTAAATTTCTCAAATCCTCGAAGAGGGAGTATATGAGAAATGTAAGCAAACAGAAGAAGGCAGAAAACCAGTTGGATATGCCCATAGACCAGCGTAGCATGTTGTCAATTACAATGGACTGGTACTCTTCAAGGTTGGTGCAGGCTCGAATTTTTGTGATATTGTAAGCCTCTGACCATGCAAGACAATACTGCTCCTGACTGTACAGAAAAAATGAGGTCTGATTATTCCTCTCATTGTAGTGAGATAGCGAGCCAGTTAAAGAAACATTAAAGTGCTCGTTATAACTCTTTTTAGGTCCAGTTATCCACAGAATGAAAGCGTTGTCAGCGATACATTCCCTTTCATAAATAACGTAAAAATGGTCGTCAAAGTTTTTTATAGAGGGGTGCAAGAATTCCTCTGGAATCGGTGGCACTTTAATACCATAGCTCTGGCCCCACGGTTCATGACATCCTCGGTCCTCAAATAGTCCTGGCTTACAACATCTCCTTATACAATGTTTAACCATGCAAGGGCAGCCAAAAAGCTGTCCGTCCAAGCTGTACTGGGCATATGGTGGGATAGTCAGTCCATCAAAAAGAATAGAACCGTTCGCTAAACTTGTGCCATTCTCTAAATTAACTGATAGAATCTTATTGCATGGAGCTGTTTTAGTGGCAAAATTGGAGGCAATACTCAAGGTGAATAGCAAAATACTGACAAGATTTGTGATCATCATCATTAATCCAACAGATATTTGTCCTATCTAAGCGATTTTGATAGTCATGGGTACATACTAGTAATTTTTTGATTTATTACCTTCTGCTTAACCTTTCGAATTATTAGCGTATCTACATAAAGTGTATAAACTACTATTCTCTATTTATGTTCACTAACTGTAAATCATAATTTAGTTATTACTGATTTACGTGTGGTAAACAAATAATGATACCTCTGCCTATTTTTGTTCGATTTTTTTAGCCAGGCGTAACAGATAAAAATATTAATGCTAACAATTTCGCAGTAAATTTAAAAAAGACTTATGCACTTGTGCGCTCACTTATTACAGGGCTATGCACTGTTATTGTGACGCCCCCTTTCGTATGTATACATATGCATTTATCAAATATTAACGTTTATTATTTAATATTTTTCCCAAAAAATACACAACACATTTTCACACGTTCAAATTTTCACTCACGTGCTATAAACGGTATCATCGCCCAAAAAAGTATTGTGTACATTAGCTGTTGTTGAGTTATCCTGAATTGGAGCAAAGTGGCTTACACGTGGATTTGTTTCGGTTGTTCATCCTCAAAGTTACAGAAGCATGTTAGTCTTTTATATAATAACTGGTAACAAACGGTACTAATTTCAAAATTCACACGGTTGTTAAAACTCTGAGTGAAATTCTATCGGTTCAGTGGTAGCTGATGTCTGCTCTACAGTGAGATCAAGCATAAAGTGCGTGTCACATCAGAACAAGTATGCTATAGCAGCAACTATAGTAGCAACAGCAAAGAAGGAACTGTCGACTTTAATACATTTTTCTTTAAAGAAAAACACAATGTCAGAAAGTATACCATGAAAGGTGGAGAAATGAGTACGTAGAATGAAGGCAGCAATCACGAGGCCTATAACATATCTACAGCTGTTATTATTTGATTGGATGTATACTGACACTATTACTTCTGCTCGTATTAGTTTTAGCTAGGATTTTGATACTTCATCAATCTTTTTTTATTCATGTTTTCAGACAACTAACTGTCAGGCAGGCTACTATACAACTGCTGGGTCATCAAAAATGTATGTTGGTGTGCGTCAAAAGCTAGCACGCGATAAAAAAATTATACATACACTTAGTAATATGCGTGAGAAACCTTGTGGAGTTAAATGACGTATGATCACGCATCAGGCAAGAGCTCTCCTGGGAAAAAGTATCTCTGATGTTGACAAGTAGGACAAGGAGGACGATATACCCTTGTGCCTAGAAATTTCTTATTTTTTATTCTTAAATAATGTCAAGCTAAATCTGACAAGCAAACTCTAGCAGTGGTACCACCATCAAATACTAAATTCTATTTTGAATATCCTTAAAATGGAAATAGGTACCCCTTTATTTTACTAAATGAGAAAAGTACCTGGTCTAGTCTTAAAAGTACATACAGAAAAGAGGCTTGTTTCAGCTTTATGTAAAGAACGTTCATTCAATTGTCAATCTTTCCCAATACTTTTTTACAAAATACTGTTTTCTTAGTATTACAGAGCAACAAAAAAAAACATTAATAATTACTGGTATTTAATAATAGTGCACAATGACAAAAACCGAGTTAAATTTAAACAAAAATTAGGCGCCCTTACATCACTAACAGGTGTAAGCGGGTAAGTTTTTTTTTAATTTTGTAACTACCAAAAAGAAATAACAGTACGTAGTAACTACTAAATCATAAAAATTATACCATGTAATAATGAACAATCAACGTGGAACTTTGTTGAGCATTCCTAACTATTTAAAAATAATTTACTTGGATGTAGCTATATACAGATAAAAGTCTAAGGTTACTGCTCCACATTTCACATATAAACTTATTGCATAGTTAAAATTATTTATTTTGAAAAAGAAAGTATTAATGCCTTACGCTATAACCCATCAAATATAATATATCAGAGATGTAAGTTGGATAAAAGCGATCGGTATAATTAATTTGTTAATGTGTTTTATATTTAACAATGTACCTGTCAATCGCCGAGATGTTACGCACCAGAGAGAAAATTTACTATTTTATCCTTCAGACACAAAGTAAGATTTTGAAGCTCGAAGGCGTGATGGGCGTACGTTTGTTACTGAGTGCAGGATGTAAATTTCTTACCCAAGGAACCAAGTTTGATTTTATACTCATAAGCACACTTTGCGCCCTAAGAGCAGAAACAAGCCGTGAGCCCAGAGGGCTAAAAAACAATTCCTAGTAGTACACAAAAAGTGTTCCTTTGAGTTTCAAACCGTGTAACCGAGAAAATAATGATGGATTTCGTCAATTGTATGTACGTATCGCCTCCTTAAAAAGTATCGCCCTAGAGACCTTTGTGGGCGTCCTGTACAGATGGACATAAGTGGTAAATCCTGCTTCTACTATAATTGCAAAAAAAATCTCCAAGAAACAAAAATTGCTTAAGATTGAAAATTTGGAATGAGACTTATTGCAGGTATTCAAATGTTAGTACATCACATTAATACCTTAGAAACAAAGAATTTCTCACAAAACCAAAAAAAAAGAATTATGTCGAAAAGATTATAGCTTTGGATAATATTTGTGCACAATCGTGTTTAAAATAATAAAGAAGATGCTTGGCAAAATAAACGCTTCTGAACTGTGTTTATTTAATCAATTTTTTGTAATTAGAGTTTTTAAAAAGTAGTAGTCACTAAGTACCAAATTCACAATCATAAAGATTGAAACGACACTCTTTGTTTATTAAAATTATAGAACAACAGCACTACAATAAAGATTTAACTGTAGGTTTTATAAGTGCTTGATAATTATACTTATTATTCAAGTAACAAGACCTTTAATGTACTAGTATTTCATAAATTATCTAGTTTAAATCTTAATAATATTTGAATACACACGAAAAAAAAATTTCATTTTGTGGCTTTTGCTTATGCATTATTCAAAACCATGCAAATTTTAAAACAAGAAAACATTCACTAGTTACAAGAAAATGTAAGGCTTCTACGAGTAACAAATTTGTTTACTGAAGCACGATTTAATTTTAAATGGCTTACTAGAAGCGGACAAACGGTGATTTTTAGATCAACGTTATAATTCAATATAGTTACAGAGTACAGATAAAAATATTCACTCTGGCTATTTTGCATCCGATTCAAAACAACCTTAGGCTTGCGTGTGCTTATTTATTTTATTGCTATGTACTGATCGTTTGACGCCCCCTTTCTGTGACCTTGTACATACCCTCTTGGATATTCTCTTGATATGCTTTTCCTCTAGAGGCAGCTGATCTATCGGTACTTAGTTCGATAAAAGTTTGTCTTTTGATAAAGTAGTTTGTGTCTCTTGAATACATAAATGAGTTTTAAAGTTTTACCTGCTTAGATATTTTACTTATTGCTGAAATTGCTTATGTTAATAAACGTACGAATTTTCTTGATAACTGATTAACATATTTGTGAATTTTAAAAATTGTAAAAAAATGTGATTAGTGAAAAAAACTTCTCCACTAATAATTTTCGAAACAGAGCAGCAAATCTTGAGCTGTTTTCATGAGGCCTGTTGTTATACAAGGATGTACATTATTCAATGAAAATTTGCATTTAACTTTAATACTTGTATCACAAGAAACAACTTTTGCAAGTAATTTCTTACGATACAAGCAATTAAAGTTAAAGAGATAAAGCAGTGAGTTGATTTTTTTTACAGCCATTTTTAATGGAAAAATGTACTTTCCAAACAGAAGCACCACCGGCTTTATTGAAATCACAATGGAGTAAAAAGTCATTTTGTGTTTCTTAATTAAGAAAATGAAATTTTGGCTGTTCAATACTTTTGTTTTCCCTCTTTTGACAGCAACGTTCTGGCTACTATGTCGTTCAGCCCTTTTTGGAGACAATTCTACGAATCTCATCATGCAATGCAATCACGTTTGTTTACAACTATTATATTAACTCAAGCTTTGGAGGCATTAATAATATTAAATTAATTTATGTAACCAAAAAGATACGTACAATATACATAACTCTGAATAACACGTCATTTCATGCAAAGATAATTTTTTACAGAATTGGGGACAGTAAAAAATATTGTCTATATCTTGCAGTTCAACTGTAAACGTTAAATTTCCAACCGAGTACAAATTGATAATTATTTAATATAAAAATTGCGTCTATATTATTAATATACAGGTACTATCTCTGTACACTATTTTTAAAAAGTACTATCAAAATTTAAAATATGACATTCAAGATTTATTAACAGTATAAGTAGAAAGTGTTATGGGTTTCAAAACCAAATCAGAAATAAAATTCTATAATAAACATAAGAAATTAGAGATTTCCAAGAAAAATTGTACGTTTCTAGTACTATGTAAATACTTTCAACTGTATATCCACAGCACATATGCAATTGTTGTATGATCATTGAAAAAATTTATATTTTACAGTTTAATTTACGAAATGTACAGGTAGTTTTAATATTACTACTTAGAAATAAAGTTCTCAAAAACAAAATAGAAGATATGAATATACTGTCACGGACGTGGCTTGGTTCAGTCAAGCCAGCGCCCGTGTGTTGGTACACCGGCGTACAACAGACGACACAATGGAGTGTATCTAAGAGATTAATAAGTACAGTCGCTCTTGGCGGCGGTCGTGGCTGAGCGGTCAGCGTAAAGTTTCGCAAATCCTTAGTTGACGGATTCGAGCCTCTGCTCCACCTTTTTGGCGGATCATTTCAGTTCAATAATTGGGCCTTTTTAAACCATTTATTTAATAAATCGGAATTACCTGCTCCCTATCCACACGAGAATCCCCAAAGCTTGTTCCGTAACAATACATAAATATTTATAAAGAACATGGTTTTAATTTAAATAATAAACTAATTAATCTTACAGATACTGTCTTGATCGATTTCATATAGCATTATTTAGTAATTAAAAGTGATTAAAAGTGATTCAGTGGCCGATATTTTTTGATCTTTCATTAAAAATGAAATCCTTGACATTATT